GGGAGAGGGGAGGGCCAGCTGTGGAGCTGTCCTTGGATCTTGGGCTGACAGGACTGAAGAGCAGCAGGATGAAGGAACCTGCTGTGACAGAGAAGAAAGAAATATTGGAGGCTAACACAGAATGGTACAGAATTTGAGGTGGAGGAAGTGGTTAGCCACGTTCAACACAGCTGAGTGGTCATGCAAGAAAAGGCTTGAACATCTTGATTGGGTTTAGCAACATGCAGACAATGATGACTAGGTGAGAAATAGCCTGATAGCTGGTCCTGGCCTAAGGATGGAGAAGAGAGGAGCACCTGGACGGATTTTCCCCAGGAGGGCAGAGGCATTAATCATCACGAATGCAGGAAATGCCCTTGAACTCTGAGGCTTCCAAGAGAGAATTTGAGGTTATAGACTACCCAGGCTGGTGTGATCCTTGGAGTGTACCTGGAATAGTAGCCACATGCCTGGGTGGGGAGCCAGGCTTTGAGAGGAAAAGTCTTTGCAGGGCCCTGCACCCCATGGTGAGAGGCAGGCAGGACCAAGCCTTCTGCCTCCCAGGACGGCACCATCTCTGAGGCACTGGGACCGCTGACCCAGAGTGGAAGGGCCCTACTCACAATGGCTGCTGATCTGTCTAGCCTGGTTTTCTCCTTTGTTTTTGCTCCTATTAAATTATCCTCCATCTTGTTCCAGACTACATTACTTTATTTTTCCATGACCTTCCAGTTTTCGCACCTTTTGTTTCTTTTATCAGAATAGCACACCCCTCCTCTCTTCCCACCCCTCTCTCCTTTGATTAACTTCTCCTGAATGTTGAGGAAGCAGCCTCGATTCCATGGGGTCAGCTGCCTCCTGTACCCACGTGCTCTCCTTTACCGTGGCCCCTTCTATCCTGTGTTGTCTAATACTTGTCTCTGTCTACTCATCTACTTCCCCTGAGGAACAAAGCTCCCTTTGCCCAGCACTGTGGGGTGCACCTGGCACAGGTTCCTTTCACTGTCCACTGCACGAAGAGCTGCCGGTGTGCCTTCTCTCACTTCAGTCTTGAAGCCATCAGGGAAGGAGAGGGGAGACTGGCTGGAGGCAAGCTCTTCCGGCACAGTTCTGCCTGCCTCCAGGACCTCCTGCCTGAAACCACACCTCTGGGCTGATTGTCTCTGCCCTGGGCTCTTTTATTGGAAAGGAAGAGGGAAGAGTGCTTTTACTTTCTGGGGCTGGACGGCAGCAGCCTTGTTATCATCCTAGGCCTGGTGGGGCAGATGTGGAGTGATGAAGCGGGTGGGGTGGGGGGCAGAGAGGTGAGGGGGTGTGCGCGGGGGTGCTGTTTATCTGTTCAATTCATAGCTGCCTGGCCTCCCCATGCCTGCCCACCAACCTCTTCCCTATTTGCAAAGCAACGAACGCTTCCCCAGCAGCCAGCACAGGCCCTCTCACCCCACTGTCGGTGTGAGCCTGGCAAGTGTGTGTCCTGCTGTAGAGGATTAAGTACGTCATGATCAGTCAGGGAAGGAGCACAAGGGGCTTAGAGAAGGAAAGGGGATTGACCAAGGGGAACTGTGGTGTAAAATCAGGATTGTGTCTAGAACTAGAGCTCCAGGCTCCTTGAGAAGGAAAAAGAGACAGTGAAAGGCAGCTGGCACAGCAGAGGGGGCCCTGGCCATGCTGCTGAGGGGACAGAAGCTCAGCTTGTTGCAGCAGTCTGCCTGGGACCAGTGATAACTCACTGAACAGTGGACAGCTTGTCTGGAGCAGTGGACCAGCTGGATGACAGGCTCAGGAGATGGTTGAACAGTGGATGTGATACAGTTCACAGTGGGAGGGACCAGGGCCCTGGTGGGTGTGAGCAGGAAAGGCAGCTGGGCTATAGAAGGAGCCTGGCCTTTAGGGTCAATGTCACTTGGGTTTAAGTTCTAACATCGCTGCTTAGTGC